TGGAAGCCGATTGGTTTCTATGCAGAGTTACACCAGATCTTGCACTCTCCGGTTTTAGTAAATAACCCCCATTGTGTCTGCTGTTATGATATAGCTTAGTCCACTATTTACTTGTGCAAGGACTCTACTCAGATCTTAAGAGGAAGATTAGCATCCTCAAGTTACTTCTAAAAGTTACTAGAACATCTCACAGTTACCCTGAACCTATCCAAGTTCATGTTCTGCAATAATGCATCAGAAGAACATACGCAGAGGCTGTTCATTGATCCAAAGGAGTGACTGTGACTGTTTGTCTGGGAAAAAAAAATTGTTGGGAACTTAAAAAGAGTTCCTGGCCACACTGAGTTAGGGTCAGTTCAAAAACAGTGAGGGCTCTTTCTGCCAGGCCCCTAAAAATGCTATGTTATAGAGTGTTCTTTGAGACTGTTCTGCAGCTTCTACGATCAGCCATAATTGCACATTTTCTTTCTTTATTGCTGTCAATAGCATTTCTGTAGGGCATTGGCAAATACTCAAATTGTTTGTGCTTCCTCTTTTAATAAATAAACCTGTTTCTTAGGGAGATACAATATTAGATATGCCTTATTTGCTTAACATTTGTTCCAAAATTACATTCTGTTCACATCTATTTGTCCACAGGCATATACACATCTCCACTTGTACCTCTTATGATACCTTTGTATGCTTGTATCACACTGAAATACATAAATGTACTGGTGTTTTGATGCGTGTTGACATGCGTTGCATTAAGGACCATCTCCATGTGTTAGTGTGAAATTCAGCATGAACTGTTTCTTGCTGCACGTGGCAGTAACTCTCAGGGTAATGCGCATGCTACTGCAACACAGCAGTGTGAATGGGTCTCAAACCTGAAATGTTGATGCACACATTCCTCTTATGTCAAAAAGTTATTTTTTTATATTTCCTTCTGTCAATGTAATCATTCCTGATCCTTATCGTACTAGCAAGATGCATCCACAGACACTTCCTTGCCTGAAATAACACCCCTTCTCAATTCACATGTAGTGCATGCTGGCATATTCCCCTGTTGTTAGTATAGTAAATTTTCAGTGCTCAACACTGGATTTCACACACATGCACAAGAAGTTCATACAAAGAGCATACAGAATTTGCACAGAAAACTTTGTTTAACCACTTCCCGACCGACCGTTCTATAGCAGATATACTGCTACAGGGCGTCATGGGTGTGCAAAATCACGTATATATACATGATTTTGTGTTCCTGGGTAGGGGGGCACGCAGTAGTTCGTGGCCACGGCTGTCAATCACCGGGTCCCGGCCTGTAATTCCCCGCCAGTGCCCGGTGATTATCGAGCATCTCTGATGGGAAGGAGGACTGCTTTGTTTACTAATAGTCCTCCTCCCTGTCAGCTCAGGCACAGCACAGCCATCCAGAGCAGTGTGATTACAGTAAAGCCCACACACACTGCCCCCTATGTAAAATACTCCCTGCACACAATTGACCCTTTGATCGCCCCTCATGTTAACCCCTTCCTGCCCAGTGCCATTAGTACAGTGTCAGTGCTTTTTTTTTAGCACTGATCACTGTATTGGTCTCACTGGGGATGTCAGTGACACCAAGTCAGCTCCCCCCAGTGTCAGAATGCCCGCCTCAGTCCCGCAGTCCTACTATAAGTCACTGATCGCCGCCATTACTAATAAACAAAAATTCCAGTATATATACCGCCATTTATAAACGCTATAATTTTCACGTAAACCAATTAATTTACACGTATTGGGATTTTTTTTTTAAGCAAAGACATGTCGCAGAATACATTTGGCCTAAATGTATGATGAAATTTGATTTTTTTACATTTTTTTACTGTACATGTTTAATAGCAAAAAGTCAAAAATATTGTTTTTTTCTCAAAATTGTAGGTCTATTTTTTTTTATAGCGCAAAAAAATAAAAAAACACACAGGCGATCAAATATCACCAAAAGAAAGCTCAATTTGTAGGAAAAAAAAAAAAAAAATAAATTTGGGTGCAGTGTTGCATAACCGAGCAATTTTCAGTTAAAGTACCGCAGCGCCATAATGCAAAAAATGGCCTGGTCAGGAAGAGGGGGGGGGGGGGGTTGTAAATCCTCAGGAGGGCAAGTGGTTAAAGCATTATTAAACCCAAAAGCAAACAATTTTAATTTATTGCAGCTTATTGCAGCTTACCAATTCTTAGATCTGATGGCTGCATTAATTTTCTCTTTTAGGCTTTCCTGGTGATCCTATCAGTAAGTCTGTTGTTTTTCAAAATAACAAGCTACCCTGCAGATGTTCTACAGGTGTCCTGACCTGTCCTGCACATGTAGCAGTTAAAAGGTTGAGACAAACCATTCAACACTGACAGGGGTGCTTATGATAATCAGCTTTCATTTAAAACCTTTATCCCCAAAGGAACAAAATCGTTATTGTAACTGCTTATAAAGTGTTAGGTGAAGTTTGACTTCAGTTTATTAGCGTATTAAAATGGGATAGTCCATCTAACACTCCCCTCCCCCAAACTGTCAATGCTGCTGTCTGCAGTGCCCCTTGTTCTCCTTCATCATGGAGCCATTTTAATACAAGAGGTGTATTACGGGCTGGATCACCAGGTGAAAACAGAGGGGACAAAGCCTAAAAAAGAAAACAAATGCAGCCACCACAACTAATACCTGGAAGCTGAAATATATTCCATTTTTGGTTTTGGGGTTAATACCATTTTAAGAAAGCATAATGGGATCTACTAAACTAAATATTCTTTTGTGAAAGTTTACACTACAAGAGAAAATAATACTCACTGTCTGGGTATTTGCTTTCCTGAGACAGTTGACAGCACTTACTGTCTGTAATACAGTTGACAGTACTTACTGTTAGTAATATTTTAGATTTAAGCTAGGCACACACTTTAGCAGACGTGCAGGGGTGTCATTAACTCTTAATGCCACCCCCACATATTGCCACCCACACTGCATTTTCATGCGCCCAACCGCATGGTGCAATTTGAAAAAAAGGGTCAGGGACTTCTTTCCCTGCATTTCTTTAGGTAGGGTGGCACATAGAAATGCAAGGGCTGCCTACACACAGAACGCAGTATGAATAGATGTGAACTAAGCTTAGAGGGTGAACTGTCAACCTAGCTGTATTACCTGGGGATTGCAATGCACACATTCACATTTTCCAAACTCTACATCACTGTACCCTATGTATCTAGTAGAGGGACTAGATCCCAGGAAAAATGCCCAGCACAGTACCAAGACATTATTATAATTCCATACATAAATAATGGCATGCAATTCCAAGCTGAGCTTCTAAAGCAAGCAAAATCCTCTCTTGTATTAAAAGAGGTATAAACTAAAGAGAGAGAGATATCATCATTACCCCTTGTACAAATCATTAGTAACACCTCATCTGGAATATGCAGTTCAGTTTTGGGAACCAATTCACAAAAAGAACATTGGGGAACTGGAGAAAGTACAGAGAAGGGCAACCAAACTGATAAAAGGCATGGAGGAGATCAGCTATGAGGAAAGATTAGAGGAACTGAATTTATTCTCTCTTGAGAATGAGGAGATTAAGGGGCGATATGATCAACATGTATAAATACATCAGTGGTTCATATAGTGAACTTGGTGTAGAGTTATTCACCCTGAGATCAACACAGAGGACAAGGGGGCACTCTACGTCTGGAGGAAAAGAAATTTATTATCCAAACACGGAAAGGTTTCTTCACAGTGAGAGCTGTGAAAATGTGGAATAGACTCCCTCAAGAGTTGGTTCCGGCCAGTTCAGTGGATTGCCTCAAAAAGGCCTGGATTCATTCTTAGATACACAGAATATAACTGGATACTAACATTTATAGGTAAAGTTGATTGAAGGAATATCCGATTGCCTCACGGGGGATCAGGAAGGAATTCTTTCCCAGCAGGTGCAAATTGGATCATGCTTTGCTGGGGTTTTTTTTTGCCTTCCTCTGGATCAACTGTGTGTATAGGATTATAACTTTTTTTTTTTTATATGGTTAAACTGGATGGACTTTTGTCTTTTTTTCAGCCAGACTAACTATGATATAGGTTTTACACTTCTTGATGACTGATTTCTTCATATGGATAATATTAGTTGGGAGTTGACATTTCAGTACAGAATTTTATTACCATAATTTGAGATATTGTATATGCAGTTGCCACCCATGCGGTCATTCCAAAAATTTGTTTTTCCTCTTGTTGTTTTTGCCACACTAATATTATTGAAGTTATTATTACCATGATAATATAGTGTTTACTTTTAGGACAGTATAAAATGCCATCTGGAATTTAGAATTGATGTTTGGGGTGGGATGAATGGAAATTGCTTATAAAAAAGTGGGTTTCCCTCTTCAAGCTGTCAGATGAATAGGTATCCCCTTTGGAAAATGTCTCCTTTATTTCTGTTCTGGTAACTCAAAACTTTGGACTTGGCCTTCACGTTCAGTCCTGATTACAATATTCACCAAGACAAATAATGAAGGGGAATGTAACCAGCAGTGACACAAACAGAAATAAAAACGTAAATGGGTTCTAGCCTTCTACACTCTAGCAAAATAAAAAGGTTTTGGATATACACACTCTTTAACCACCTTCCGCCCACCATATAGTACAATGACGGGCACAAGGTGGTTCTCTCGTTCTGATAGGACGTCATATGACGTCCTTCCATTCTCACCGCGCATGCGCGGCTCAGGGAGCGTGCAGCACGGCGATTGCCGGTGCACTGTGCCCCTCTCGGACACAGTGGATCACAGAAAAACCAAAGATGTCGGCTCGGTCATGTGATCAGCTGTGTCCAATTACAGCTGATCACATGTAAGCCTTTCTCTCCTCTTGAGCTGTCACGCTGACAGCTCAAGAGGAGAGCCGGTAATCGGCTTTCCGCGGAGGGGACATGTACACTGATTATCAGGCCACTGATGATCAGTGTGCCCTGATGATCACTGTGGCCCCAAAAGTGCCACCTGCCAGTGTCCATCAGTGCCAGCCATCAGTGCTCATCAGTGTCACGTGCCAGTGCCCATCAGTGCCACATCAATGCCACATATCAGTGCATACCAGTGCACATCAATGCCACATATCAGTGCCCATCTGAGCTGTCTTTCAATGTCACCCATCAGTGCCAGTCAGTGCCACCTATCAATGCCAATCAGTGCCACCTATCAGTGCTGCCAATCAGTGCCACCTATCAGTTCCAGTCAGTGTCGCCTATCAGTGTGCATCAGTGCCGCCTATCAGTGCCAGTTAGTGACGCCTATCAGTGCCAGTCAGTGCTGCCTAACAGTGCCAGTCAGTGCCGCCTATCAGTGCCAGTCAGTGCTGCCTATCAGTGCCATATATCAGTGCCATATATCAGTGTCATGTATCAATGCTGCCTTTCAGTGCCCATCAGTGATGCCTGTCAATGCCCATCAGTGCAACCTACCAGTGCCTCCTCATCAGTACCCAACAGTGCCACCTATCAGTGTTCATCAGTGCAGCCTATCAGTGCCCATCACTGCAGCCTCATTAGCGCACATCAGTGAAGGAGAAAAATCATTTATTTACAAAATTATATAACAAAAACTAAGAAAAAAAACTTTTTTTTTTTTCAAAATTTTCAGTGGTTTTTGGTTTGTTTAAGAAAGAATAAAAATCCCAGAGGTGATTAAATACCACCAAAAGAAAGCTCTATCTGTCTCAAAAAAATGATAAAAAAAATTTCATATGGGTACAGTGTTACATGACTGCGCAATTGTCATTCAAAATGTGACAGCGCTGAAAGCTGGAAATTGGCCTGGGCAGGAAGGGGGTAGAAGTGACCTGTAGGCTAGTGGTTAAAGGTATGTTTCGGGCTCAAAGTTAGGTTAAGATGTGGGGGTTAGGTTGAAGTTAGTTGAGGAATTATTATTAATATATATTTAAAACTTGAAACTTTTAGCAACTTCTTTATTTGTCCATATAGTAGTAACTATAGAAAATTAAATCTCTGCAAACACTTTAAAACACATTTCCTTATGCATTTGCATAAGTGTCACCAAAGCCAGCCTGCATATCATAACGAAACTGGATGGGCTTGGAGTCCAGATTCTCACACTATGAGCAACTGCTCCACTGCTTCTTAATTTCCACTTTGAATGATCTGACATACTGAGCCTCAGGCACGGACATCTGTCAGACCTGATGGATCTGTCTTCTGTCTGATTTGTTTCTGACACATTTCTGACATGTGATTGCTGATAAACAAGGCCAGTAAGCTGGGAATCTCTCATTGAGGTAATGGCCCATGTGCTGTTTGATGTGTCAGACTCACTGTACTACGTAGGAAACCTGTACAGTAGTCTCTTAATAGAAAAAGCACAATAATAATAATAAAAATAATAAAAGTAACAACCATAATTATCACCAAGTAGCATTGCATTAAAATATATCATTTTCAATTATGAGAAACTATTTGAAAAAGTTCTTACTAGTTATCTAGCCAATAGTTACATATTAGTAAATCTATACTTCCCTATTCAAGGCAAAGTGAAATGTTTGCTGTATAGCCTGACACTCTGGTGCTTTTGCCTTCTTTCACTTACACTGTTACCTCCATGTTCACATGCTGGAGTCCTCCCATGAATTGCTATGTAAGTTTTTTGTTGGCTTTAAGCATTAGCGTTAAGGAGCCTTATCCACCCTTCTCCGGCAAAAAACAGTTAAATTTTCCTATTTTTTTCATCCCTCATTAAAGCAACACATTGGTGAGAACTAAAGCAATAGAAAGCAAAATTGCCTTGCTCTTGCATTGGAACGGCTTTGGGTTGTACAACCCAGTAAAGCCTAAAGCTGTTGGTGTGGCTGGTCCCTTATAAGGGTCAGTTTCTTACAGAGAGGATTTATGTAGCTTGTTCGATCATTCAGTTCACTTTAATCTAATTAGATATACCTCTTCACAAAATAATTAGCCTAATCCCAAATGTAACTTTAAATTGTGCAGGCTTCAGAGGACAAAAATATCAGGCTAGGGCAGTGTTAATAAAAGACAATAAGGACTTTATACTGAAGAAAAACATTGACACTGGATACCTGTTTTTGAATACCAGCAATTCTGACATGTTCAGACAATACATAGCCGGCAGGATACAAACAGCTCTACTAGATTTCCTCAGGCTGCCACTGTCAGAAGTAAAGCCTATTAGCTGGGTTGAAGAATTGTAAATTATAGCCTGTTGCTTTGAACTTTTCAGACTGTCTTCCATCAAACTCCCACCATAAAATATCTATGACCAATTTGGTATTTGTAGTGCATAGAAATTAGTATATCCCCACATGCAGTTCCAAATCCAAACTTTTTTTGTCCTTGAAAGTACTCAAGACAGGATAATGAACAAGATCTTGCCCCAAGAACTGCATCTGATGTTGCAAACTTACCTTGGTGGAGGTGGGCTTAATAATTGATATATAATCTGTGCTCATCTGTCCTCTCTTGGGAGTACATTGATAAGTTAGGATACAGACTCTTATAAAATTATTGGCATAATCAACAATTATAGTTCTTTTCCTATACCATTATAGAAAAAATTAGTGAACAGAAAAATGTCTATGATCAGAGACTCTGGTGACCATTTTGAAGGAGTTTTCATCCCAACCTGGATGAAGTAAGTCTTCCCAGCCTTGTTGGAATGTATGTATTCCATGAAAGGAGCATGTAGCATTCCAATACTATAAACAGCAGCTGATCAAAGTAGAGAAATACTGTTTCAGCTCCTCTGAAAGATAGAAAAAATATCATAGGTGAAAATAACATTGGACAACCTTCTAAACACTGTCACTATACTGTATTTAATAAAACACAAAGAGTTAGTGCTCATGTGGAAAAAAACATATAATCCTGCTGAAGAGAGGAGCTTTTGTTTTGTTAATATAATATTCAGTGTCCGCTACTTCCTCAAGACTGGGATTCTTACTGAAACACTATAGGATAAACAGAGAACACACCATTGTATGACACTCTCACAAAACCTTTATTGTATAATAACAAAGACTGGTACTCACAAACATTCTTTTCAAACTCTTTACAAACTCGTTTTGCCATGTAAATACATCAGGGAAAAGACCTGCTCGACCCTCGATACTCAGAAGAAATCACCAAAGCTGATCTTATTCACAACATATGACAGCATGCAGCCACTGTCTATAGTGTGCATTATTACTTATGCATTTCAAGGGCAGACCCCCCTTCATCAGAGCTCAAGAGGAAATAATTGAATGATTCGCTCTAACCTATCACCCTAATGTATCACAGGATCAGAAAAAAGATAAGGGTACCTTACCAAAATTAAAATTACTACTGCATCGTTCATTACCTCTGGCATTTATGATAGAATTAGAATTCAGACTAAGCAGGGCTTTTTTTCAGATAATAGGTGGAGGTACTCCCCCTTCAAAGTCACCCTTGTCTCTGCCCCATACCCACCTCCGCGCACCGTCCATTCGTTCCACCCTCTATCCACCTCCCAGTACCTCCTCTTTTATAGAAAACAGAACAAAATATAATTTTATGCTGTTAAGCAATTAGCATGCAGTTGCCTAACAGCATAATGATAACAAGAGAAACAGAAAAATAGATCCCCTGCAGCCTGCAGCCCAACAATAGAATTCTCCAGCAACAATCAATTCCCCACCAGCAACAGTACAATGCTCTAGCAACAGCAACAGCAACAAAAACACCTCACCAGCAACAATAGACTAACCCCAAGGAACAATATACCCCACCACAAACAAGAGACCCATCCCTCAACAGAAGATCCCTCCCAGCAACAGTACCCCAAGCAACAATAGAACCCCCAGCAACAATGGACCCCTCCCTCAGCAATAGATCCCCTCCAGTGGCAATAGATCCTCTTGGAGTAAGCATCAATGGACCCACCAGCACACCCCAGCACCCTTTGCCATTATACACATGTTCCCCCGCATTCCATCTGAAAAAAGCCCTGAGAATAAGTATTAGTATAATTAAATGCAGTGTGGTAAACGGGAGCTGTCATGAATATATTGGATCTATAGGTGTATGTAGGTAGGTGGTAGGCTGCAGTTTGTTTGCCAACATAAGGGTGACACTGTGGCATTTCTTCAGGCTGGCAGGAAACCATTGAGGACTAATTTACCCTCAAATATGGACTCCAGGTGACCATCTTAGGGAGGCTTGCATCTTCTATTAGAAAAATCTCATATGATTTGGGTGGCCATCTTGATAAAGAAGCACCTAAATAGCAGATTCTGCATCATTTAGCATGCCGTAGTGTAGGAATAGGTCAAAGATAGAGTCACTGTTCTTAGAGAGGAGAAAGCAACCAGGAGGGAAAGAGCAGGTTTTTATTAGCACTGATCCCTCTATTAGTGTCATTGGGATGTCAGTGGCAGTTAGTCAGCACCCAGTGTCAGTATGCCCGCCGCAGTCCCGCAGTTCCACTGTAAGTCGCTGATTGCCACCATTACTAGTATTTAAAAAAAACAATTCAGTATATATACCAACATTTTTAGATGCTATAACTTTCACATATACCAATTTGTTTTAGCAAAGACATGTAGCAGAATACATTTTGGCCTAAATTTATGAAAAAATTTGATTTTTAAAATGTTTTCACTGGATATGTATTATAGCAAAAAGTAAAAAATATTGTTTTTTTTTCAAAAATGTTTTTTTTTTGTTTATAGTGCAAAAAATAAAAAAAACACACAGGTGATCAAATGCCACCAAAGGAAAGCTCTATTTGTGGGAAAATGAGGACATACATTTAATTTATGTACAGCGTTGCATGACCTCGCAATTGGCAGTTAAAGTAACACAGTACCGTATCACAAAAAATGGCTTGGTCGGGAAGGGGAATAAATCCTCTCGAGGGCAAGTAGTTAAAGTAGGTTTAAGCCCAAAAGCAAAAAAATCATTTTATTGCAGCTTAAAAATTCTTATATGTGGTGTTGCATCTGTTTTTTTTTAGACATTTTTTTCTTTGATTTCATGTGATGATCTTGCCAGAAAGTCTGTTATTTTTCAACTTCCTTTAACAAATCAAGCTGTCCAGCAAAAGTGCCAGTTGGAGGATTAAGACAAATCATTTAACCACCTCCCGTTCGGCCGTTGTATATAAACGGCCGGACGGTGGCACTGCAGGGTCGGATGGCCATTTATAAACGGCCTCCCCACACCCTGCTTGTGCGCGCTCCCTGGGAGTGTGCAGCACCGCGATCCGGTCCCCGCTGTGTCCTCCGGACACAGTGGAACACCGATCGTCAGACGGGACCTCTGTACGAGGTCCCGATCATGTGATCACTGATTGACCAATCAGTGATCACATGCAAAGTAGTAAGCAAGATGTCATGTGACATCATTGCTTACTACATGTGAAATCTGTGAATGATCACAGAGGTCACATGGTACACAGCTATTCACAACAGCCTTGTACCATGTGACAAGCTGTGACCAATCACAGCTCACTCAGTAGTTCTCAATGGCTGCAAGA